AGAACACCATTCTCCGGGTCCCGCCTGAGCACACGCAGCCCCTGTGCCACCCGGGCTCCCCCTGGGAGTTCTCGCCCAAGCCATCCAGGCGGCGCCAGGCTGCTGACCCCTTCAAGGGGTTTCCACTCTCCCCGCCCCCCGTGCATGCATGGGCCATGACATCATTCGAGCCTCAGCTGTGGGGGAATCCCAGGCGCCCGATGGCACCATCCCAGCTCTGACTAACCGGGCAGGGCGGAGAGCAGGTGGCAGGAGCAGGCGGGCTTTTCTGAGGCCGCAGCAAGGGCGTGCCAAGCCGCTCTGGGCAGCGCCGGCGAGAGAAGCATGCGTCGACCTGGGGGGAAGTGCGGCGAGTGCCAGTTGGGGGAACAGATGTGAAGGACTGGCACCAAGCTACCGAAGCCAAGCCGGGGGCGCGGGGGGGGGGAGGCTGCCAAGTTCATTTGCTCAAAGGCACGGTGCTTCCAAATGCACCCCGTTCGTCATCTTTACCTTAATTGGGTGCGATTTGCAGGCACTGTCTCCTTCCTGCGCCACCCGGTCTCTTGTCTGTCCGGCGGGTCTCTCCTTCCTTCATCGAGTGCAGCCAGTTGGGGAAACTGGGTTTAGAGTGGAGGCATCACTCCGGGGCCAGTGTGCCTGAGCCTGAGGAGTGACCCATTGCGTGGGACTGTTCTGAGCCAGCCAGGGGCCTTCTGCCCCTCCACTCTGTGGGGAAGTGGGCGCCTTCGGGATAGGGTGGAGTGCAGGGCTGAGCGAAGTTTACTTGTCGGGCCAGGCCCTCTCTCAACTGGCTGTCAACACCTTTGCCATTCGCAGGAGAAGCAGGGGCAGTTTCTGGCCCTTGGAGTCGGGGTGTTGAGCCTCTGGCCAAATCCATCCTGCTTGCGTTCCCGGACTGTCCTCCACAGTTCCAGGGTGGCGACACTCTCTTTCAGTCGAAATGCTGCGTGCTTTTAGCTGAACAGCATGAAAGCAAAGCATCTACGGCGGAGGCTTAAAGCACAAGTGTCCAGGCATCCCAGTGAACGCTAGCAGAAACTAAAATAGAATTTCCACTGGGGCTTTCACTGAAGTGCTCCTCATGAACACACACAGAGAGACCCACCTCTAGTTTGGCTCGGTGTGTCCATCTTCACACTCTGTGGCTACTTTCTCCACCACACCAGCTTGAATTGTCTTTGCTGCTGTCATGAACAGCACAACACAGTGGAATTTTCATCTGCACATGTCTGAGAACCTTCGCCGTGATGGTGTGGCAGTTTCTGGGTTTTGTGCAAGAATCCCCCCCCCCCTTCTTAAAAGGTTGCAGGCTTCTAAAGCTTAGTTATCTGCGGTAAGAACTTTAAGCCGAAATGTGCTGGTCTTTTTGGAATTCTGGCCCCACGTTCCCCTGAAACGCACTTTCCTCACCCCCAGAATCTTCCGCAAAATTGAATTCGACCTTTGGGTCAAAAGAGATTTGACACCTCTGATTTAGGCAAGCACTTTTGACCCCTCCCCCCCAAAAGGAGGTTTATAACTGATTAAAATGTGTTCAGAACTCCCCTTTCCCTGCCCTGATATATGTGCTGCTGGGTGGAGATGGGCTGCGGATGCCATGGAGCATCCGTCCAAGCTGGAGAGACTTGAGTTCAAATCCCTGCTTTGCTGCATACATCTTCCTCTGCACCAGAGTCCTTGTCTATAAAATGGAAAAGAGCAACACAGAGGCCGACTGTAAAGAGCTCCTGAGAAAGCAGTAAAGAGGAAGACTCTTAAGTTGCTCGGTATTTCATGAAAGATTTAGACTTAGACCTAATAGGTCTAAAAATAGCAACAAGACATGGAAATGTGAGTAATTTGTTTCCTGCGTTCTAGGAGGGTTCGTCTAGCAAAGGAGGTGTCGTGTCCTTTGCAGCCAATAAATGGCTTGCAATATTTTCCAAGAAGCGACCAGCCCTGAGGTAGAAGAGGTAGCCGAGCAGTTAATTTAAAACCTGGGGCTGTGGCAAGACAAGCGTTTGCATGCATTGGCAAAAGTACTTCATTGCAGGACTCTGCATGGTTTACTGTTCTAGTTTTCTTCCTTCCAGCTGCCAAGTGCTGGCAGTGGCCCTTCGCCCCTCTCTCCAGTCTGGCAGGAGCATTCAGCTGCACCTGAGACAGATAAGGTGGCCCACCCCCCCACCCCCCGCAAGGCTGCATGTCGTGCCTCCGCATGGACGCCACGCTGGCTTTGCAGAGTTCATGTCGGGAGAGGCAGGCCTTCCTCTGAGAGTGCATAATTTTTATTACTGCACTCATGCTTTTCCACACGCAAGTAAAACTGTTCCTGGAATTTAACTTCCTTCAGCTGTTTTGAGGCTTTTTAGGTGCACACCCCTCCAGGTGACTTTTCTGACCATCTGCCAAAATCCACCCGAGCCCCCAGCTAGATGCTGCTCTGCTCGGGAGCGGTTTGGACAGGGCCTGAAGCTTGTGGTCGAGCTTTCACAGAAGAGCTGGCTGTGAAAAATAGCTTGCTGAAAAATGACTCGAGGAAATCCTCTGCAGGGTGTAGTCCAGAGTAACGTTGACAGAAGCAGAATGACTCAGTGGTGGGTGCACACTGTGTGAGCCCTTTGGCCACTCCCCCTGCCCGCCCCCAATTTTTAATTTTGCACCAGGACAGCCAGAAAAGATGAAGGAACTAACCAGATCCTGGCACTTGCTGAAATGATGCGCAGTTTCCTCTGTTGCATGGTATTCTGGATGCATTAATCTCTGGGAGGGGTGTGGACCCACCCGAAGGAGACGTCCCTCTTATCCCAGCCTTCCCACCCCCAAAGATGGGAAGAAGAAAGGACAGCTGGTGGGGCTGAGAGGAGAAGGGGGCATCTCATTGGCTGTGTTCCTACTGTGGGGCGCCTTGCCCCAGACACCGAGGGTGCTCCCTCTGAGTACTGTCATTTGGTTGGCCTAAAATTTTGCCCCCTGTGGTCCTCAGACAATCTCGCCTTCCCTTGGCCAGTCCTCCTCTCCTCCCAGTCAGTGACGGCTTTTGTGCTGTTTCTCTCCCGTGCTCAGAGGTGGGAATGCCTGTCAGATGCCCTCACTGGCAGCGGGGGGCCTTAGGGTCAGATAGGCTGAGCTGTGGTGTGTTCTCCCCTCCGCCCCCTGCACCCCGGGGATGCTCTGTCCTACAGCCCCTTCAGAATGGAATTTGGCCTGAGGCCAAAAGAAATTCAGCACCCCTAGTTTAAAGGTTATTGTGCTTATGGCCACCACCCCCTAATAGTACTGTTCCTTCTTTGTCTCCTTAATTGTATGGGTTTTCATTGCATTCTGCTTTTAAGCTGTTGCGAGCTGCTCCGGATGGCGCTTCCACCCGAGACGGGCTCCAACACCCCTTCTTGGAAGTCTTGCCCATCCAGCTTCTTGTTTGCTTTCCCAGTTGAACGGCAGTTTGCACTGGGGAGCTTTCCCAGGCAAAGTGTGTGTGCCACTGCCTTTGCCTTGTGAGTGTCCCCCTGGCCTTGCGGGAGGTGGGTTTTTTCCACCCAGTCTGTTTGGTTTGCCTTAGCACACACTTTGGGGGTCGCCGCCCTGCCCACTTGCACAAACCTCCCACACGCAGGGCAGGAGTGTTCAGTGGGCGATGCAGCCCGTGGTTCACAAGCACAGTGCCGCGGCGTCCTCCCCGAGTGGCATCGAGGGCGCTTTTGTGCCGGGTGGCCAGGCCTCGTCGCGACACTTAGAACACTCTCCAAGCTGCATGATGAGCCGGGCTCATTTTTTAAAAAGACCCTCTTGTCCAGGCAGTTTATTCAGCAGACGGCATCTCATGCCATAATGTTTGTCCTGATAACTCCGGACGACTGTGGCTGCATTGTGAGCAGCCCGGTTCCACAAGGAGGCCTTTGTCCGTCGAGGCCGGACTGGACACCCAGCCCGTGGAAGGCCTGAGTTCAGGGCCGAGCCAGCTCTGCTCAGTCCCTGTGGTGCTCAGCGCTTGGGGAGTTGGGGTTGCCGGAAGCAGTCAGTGGGTCCAGCAGCCAGAACCAGAAGTTGGCCTCCTGAGCTGAAAGGGCAGGCCTTAACTGGCAGGAGTTTTGAATGCAGGTGGGTCATCCACGAGCCACGAGTGTGTGTGGCTTAGCTTTTAGCACTGGTGTCTTATTTATTTATCATTTATGAGTTACTTACCGCATTTGTCGGTTGTCCCACAGCCAAAGGCTCTCTAGGTAGCTTGCAGTGTGCAGTATAAATATATTTAAAATACAGATAAAATAGGTAATGATAAGAAACAAAACCATAAAATGTAGTAAAATTAAAATGCATTATAAATACGGCCATGTAAATAGGAAACAGGGGGAAAATAAACACAGTTATGACCAATAACAATAACCAGTAGTGGCAACTCTTTAAAATGCAGACACGAAGCTTGGTGACCCCAAAGAGAGAAACCAAAAGCCGGGTGGATCCAGATCAATCCACCAACCTGTTCTGGTGGTTCTCCTCTCCTCCTGGACCAGACCTTTTGTTAAGCAAATGGGCCTTAATGACCTACTCCAGATCAAGTCACCTCAGAATACCTTGAATAATGACAAGGATGGCTCATAACAATTTATTGTTGCTGGGAAAACTCCTCCCCTCCAGCTGCTGGGAGGCATTTGCTCTGGCCCTGCTCCCCTGGAAGGCCCAGTGCTTTGACCCCGTGAGCCCTGGTTCCTCTCTCCCACTGGCTGTTCAATAGAGTAATTCCTAAACCGTGCTCCAGGAAATCCTGGAGTCTCTTGGAAGTTCACTAGCAAGTCCCTACCTACCAATCGGGAGGAATGGAGAAGCTTCCCCAAGAGGCAGTTTTCCCTCCCCGCTAATTAACCTGTGCCTGCTTTGTGCCCGGGAGCATGCGTTTTGCTGTGAGGTGCTTACTGCACGCAGGCAGGGCAACAATCAAACCCAGCTGAGCTGGAGAGAGATCCACTTGGATGGGCTGTGCTAGCCCAGCAACGTTTTCTGGCTTTCCCTAGTATCCAGATCAACGATGTCGGATTGCCTGGGCCTTCAGTGCAACCCCAGAAGTGTCTGCTCCGAGTCAGGGCCCATCGTGTTCACCTTCAGGTAAGCAAACCCAGGATGGCGACCTTCTGTCCAAGACATCCCAGAACGGGGCTACCCAAGGGGAGGAAGGGCAGGGCCTCCGCAGTTGTGTTGGGCATCGGAGAGCTGCTTCAGTTTGGCACAGCTGCAAGGATGCTGCTCGCACTTCTCTAGCCACGTAGCAGTATTGCCTCTAGCCCAGTGTTACTGGCACTGACTGGCAGCAGCAGCAGCTCACAGGGTTTCCCACAGGTGCTTTCCGTGGAGGTGCCGAGACCACCTGCATGCAAAGCAGGCTCTGCCACGGAGCCCCTGGCGCTTCCCGCTCGGAGGGAGCAGCTCCGTGTTCCCATACATTGTTCCGAACAGGCAAGCAGGCTGGAGTGGGGCATGGCAAGGGGCGGCCTGTGGGGCAGTAGAGGGCCAGACGGGCCTCCAGCATCTGCAGGCACAGCCTTTCCTCGGCATTTCCAAACTGCGGGCTGTGGAATTCTGGGAGTTGTAGTCCCACACACGGGGCTTTTATGCTGCCATTTCCGGCCTGGGAAAAGAATAGGTGGGAAAAAGAATAAATGAGACAGCATGCCCCCTCCCAGCTTAATTTGTCGGATGCCTACTAAAGACTTCATTTCTCCCAGCCCCTTGACTGACAGATTGCTGTCCGCACCTGCTGCATTTTTTAATCAAATGCTCCCTGGAGTGAGCTATAATTCTGTCTGGCTTTGCCTTTTACCCCATCATTGCTAGCGGCCTCGCATATCTGAATCCATTAGGAAGCTGAGATCCAGGTGCCATCAATGAGCATGAATAACTGTGCGGCAGTTGGTGCGCTGCAGAGCACCTTGCCTGTTCTGAGCGGAGCCGGTGTTACGGCCTGTGAGTGGCGCACGGCCCTGTCCCTCTGCCGGCTCTGCTGCACGGAGCCCATTTCTCCTCCCAGCCTTGTCCGGTTGTCCACTTCTGGGGCGTTCAGTGCTTCAGATCAGGCCTCCTTGGACTGTGTGTGCAGTTGGGCCCTTTGTGTTAACTGGCTAGCGTTACCTTCTTTGTTGCAGCGAACACGTCCAAAATCAAAAGTCTTTCAGAAGCACGAAAAGATTTGTTGAGGCCGTTAAGCAATGCAGTTCTATTAGTAAGCATAAATCCTGTGATTTGGCATGTTGCCTCCAGAGCTGGATCTTCAAATCGAGTTACAGCTTAGCCATAAAGTCTACATGATCTGCAGCATGTTTCCAGAACCTAAAGCCATTAGAGGGGGGTATTTTGTTCCATCCCGTTGGTGTTACACTCCATCCAAAGATGACCTGATTAAGGCTTCCTTTAGGCCATCGCGAACTTGCCCTCACCGCAGCATGTCACTAAGTACAGCTGTACCAGACTCCATTAAAGAGGCCCAAACCTCTTTCCTGTGCACAAAGATCAGCCGCATTCACATGTACTAAGTTGGGGAACCGAGTTGTGTCTTGAAGGAGTACCCGCTTCTTTTCAGTTTAGAAATGCCGCATTTGGTGACAACAGCCCCTCTTTCAAAGGGGGCTTTTAGGGTGCCATCGTTGCATCATTCACGAACTTCATGGGGGTGCAGGCAGCTTACTTCCACTCGCAACCTCCTGAAGTTTTCCCCCGCCCTGAAGCCTAGAGCATGAAAGGAAAGGGGATCAGGAGGGAAGAGGTTCTTAGTTTCAGAGCCATTCGAGGTGGCAGTCCCAGCAGGGAAGGCAAACCATGTGCTCTGCAGCCCTCCTTTATGTATGGCGGCTGCATTTGTCTCCCTTTTACGGAGATGCTCGTCAGGATGTCGGGCAGTGCAGCGCTGATGAGAAACATGGGGACCTGCCTCACGGCGGGCAGTCTGTTGTCCATTATCGTCACGTTGTCAGCATCAACAGCAGCAGCTTTCCAAGGTGGGAGGCAGGAGCACAGGAGGCCATGTGCCTCTCACTCATGGCAGCTTCGCAGTCTGTAAGCCAACGGTTTGGTGTTACGTGCCGAGATCGTCACACAGAAAGCTCAGAAGAATTTTCTCATGTGAAACTCAAGTCATGGCAAGGGATCCTCTTTTGTGCTTGGAGTGGCTGGGGGTATCAGATACATTCCCGTGCACTGAAAACAATATCAGTCCTGGGACTTCAGGATGTCTTCTTACCCTGGGAACCCTGTGCGAGCCGTTTTCCCTTTTGGCACGTTCTGTTTCCAGCTGTGTGGAGGGTGTAGCCGTTTCTTGAAAGGACTGGCGGCGGCAATCAGCCGGGGCCGCGAGGTCCCAAGATCCTGGGCTGAATTGTTTGGAGGGGAAAAGGTTCCGACTTCCCGCTGCCTCTCTGTGCCGGACACACTGACATATTTGCACCGGGAAGTTTCCTGCTGCTGCTGACAGTTGCCAAAGCAGCTGTTTTTTTATGAGTAAGCCGTATGGAGGAAGGGGGGAGGAACTTGGGGACCCCTCAGCACCAGCAGGAAATGCCAGCACCACCCGCAAGGCCGAGCAGCGGCCTCTCCCACTCTTTGGATTATCCTGCATTATGGCGTGGTGGTTGAGAGTCCTAGGCTGGGGTTCGCTCGGGAAGGATAGAGTGCAGAATTACGATCTGTGTGTCAGTGATTTATTCCCACCCTATCCGTGCTTTGGTTGTCTGCATAAAAACGGCACATGTCCTCGAAGCAACCCTGGCCACGAACCCTTCCTTGAGTTGGCCCAGGTACAGAGCTGGGCCATTAGGTTCGGTGAGATCCACTTTCAAGACCCTTTTGTTTCCCGCTGGATTGACAGCGAAAGTCACGGAAAGTGCAACAGGGTGGATGGGAATGATGGATCCAGGGCTGGCCAAGGCAGCAAGTTCTGTTTTCCCTCATGCCTGAGAGCCGCTGATAGGTCAGTGTCCTGTGGATTTGTGTAATCCCCCTTTAAAGCCTTCTCTTGTGGCATTGCATGCTTGTGGCAGCAAATTCCATTAATTGCACGTTGTGTGACAAACTGTTTCCTTTTATCCCACTTGAATCTAACTGCTAATCAATCAGATTGGATGACTCTGGATTCTAGTATTACTCAGAGCAGCAGGGAAAAAAAGACCTCTAACTATTTTCTCTGCACCATGTTTGTAGATCTTTCTTTTTTCTCCTCTCCCCACAATTGGGTATTTCTGAAAAGGAACTGTACGCCTACCTTTTTGGGATTTTGTTTGTTCTTTTCTGTACGTTCCCTCGAAAGTTCCTTCTTTCTTAGAGCCATGCTAGATCAATGCAAACACCTGTTTAATCCCAATGTGACTAGACTAGTCCATACCTGTCTGGATGTTTCAATGAGAAGGTTGCTAACAAGATCACAGAAAGACTGCTTTCCCACCATCACTGATCTTCTCCAGTTTGTACTAGTGAACTCTTTCCAGAGTAGTTGCCAGGCAGCTGTCATGTGTTTCCCTGCTCCCCTAAAAGGTGAGATTTCTTGAGCCATGAGGGCTAGCATCTTTAAAGAAAGCAAACATTTCTGGAAGCTGATTGTGTGATAGGCGCTCACATTTCTCTTCTCTCCTGGGGTCCCAGTCTTGTCCTTCAAGCTTCCCCATAAAGTCCACACCCTATTCCCACGCCTGACCCTGGTTTCCGGGACTTCCTGGTGATTTCCTGGTTTTCTACATTTCCTACCATTCAGGCCTAATTACTGCCCATTAGAACTTGAAGCTAATATTAGCGGTGTTGGGGGGATGTTCCATCCCCCCCCCCCAATATCCACCATTGGACCACAGCATCCAAGAATTTCTCAGCATGGAATTTAGCTCTCTGGCTGAGCGAACTTCTGCACTGTGCCTTAATAGCCATGGAGGCCTAAATTAGTCCAGTTCTCGCCGCTGCCTTGCTGATGGGAAGCTGGGGTAGAGCCGGAACAGGAGTGCAGCTTGCGCGCACTCACCCCTTGCGCTGGGATCGGAGCCAGGCCTTTCCAGCTTGCACTGCACCAATGCAAAATCGTCCAATCCCTTCCTGCGCAGATCGGCGGTTTCCTTGTCCTTCCTCAAATCTTGCCGCCTGAACATGGCCTTGTCTAGCCAGGCCTTAGGAAAAGCGTAACTGCTTGCGAGGAATAGGGCGGCTTTGCTCGTCGGATGCCTGCCTCAGCAGAAAGCGAGCTGACGAGGCATTCCGTTTTCTTGTCAGTACTCAAGGGAGTCCTGAGCACCTTGAATAAAACGTGATTTTGTGCATGCCACCCCCCGCCCCCCTCCATTAGGATTGTTGCCTGGGGGAGTTTTCCTCGCCCCAAGACCTGGGGGAGTCACGGCTGTGGGCGATGCCCGACAGGCCAGCTCATTCAGGCTTGTAAAGCAGGAATCACCTCAGCTGACCAGGGAGGGGGCTCCATGGGTCCAGCCCAGCGTCCCTTGGGCCCTCCCAGCCCACACACAGCCTGCCGGCAGTGTGGATGGGCCGCATCCGTTTCATGGCGGGTCGTTGTGCCAGCCTGAGGCATTTCTTTGCTTGCAGGGCAGCGCATCTTTCTCCTCCTCCCCTGTTCGAGCCAATGCTCTAGAAGTGGCTCGCGCACCATTCGGCCCCGGTGCCTCCCCTCATTTGTCCCCCTGACCGCAGTGGCTGCCGCTCCCAACCAGCCAGGCCCATCTGCCGCGACATCCCAGGCCCCAGAAGGTCTGTTGCATGGGAGTCGTTTCTGCAGCTTCCGTCCTGAGGCTTCACTCTTGAGAGCGGCCTTGCTTGTTCCCCGGTTCCCCGGTGCCAATGCCGTCAGGGCAGCCAAATCTGTTGCACACCCCAGCAGCCCTGTCCGTCTGCCCGTCCGTCGTTCCAGCTCCATGCCCGCAGAAACCAGGCCTTGGTGCCGATAGTTTTCAGGCCTCTGGGCTGTGGACAGCTGTTGTCCACTCCCAGTTAATTAGGGAGACAGCAGGGGAGCAGAGTATGGCCCCCTCCGGCAACGCAACGCATTTTGATCTGATTGAAAAGGACTTTGTCACAGCGAGGGGGGGAGCGAGCCAGCGGAGAGGCCCTTCTCCGTCCAGCCTGTTGGA